AAAGTGTGCCGAAAACACTGCCAGTGCCAGTAAGTCATGTATTCAATGAGCCAGTGAAATGGTAGACACCGAGAGATGTGGTTTCCGAAATGAAATGATCTGGTGATGTCCATGGGGACAAATGGAGCGTGTGCGTTCCAAATAGGATTTCACACACAAAACTGGGCACAATGCAGGCTTATCTGGAAATTCTGGATAAAGTACAGATTTAGTAGAAGACTTCGTCCTACGAGTAATATCGAAAGACATTCCCTCGGGAAGGAAAACCAGAGCATCCCAATCCCAAGGCTCTCACATCAGACACACGCTTGCATGATATCAGGCAGAGTAGCGTGAGTAGCTTCCATGAGAGTTGTTTGAGATAACGTACCATCTGGAAACCAAGATTCCAACAGACGTAACACCAAATTGACGTCTCAGAATGTGTTATATCTTGCCCGAGGAGGTCTAGAAAACGTTATTCCTTTTAATAATCTACAGACTAGTGGGTGTCTCCCGATAGGGGATCCATCGATGCCACAATGTAAAGCAGACATCGCAGATCGGAAAATGTTCACCGTCCTATAAGCCTTTCCTGCATCGAAGATTTAAGTCAGGAATTGAAGAACCATTTTCAGAGGGGTAGTAGCTGGATCCAGTGATCGTTTTGAGCACCAGCTAGCCCAAGATCGCCATGCAGTCCGGTAGGCCAATCTTGTGCCCGGGGCCCAAGTGTTCTGGAGGAGTCGGAGAGTAGACGAACGCAACGAATAGTCCAGGTACTCCTGAAACCAACCAAGCCAACGAGTTGGAGATGACCTTGATCCACCAACTTGTGCGATTTACCATCTGGATCTGTTAGGAGCCAAGGCATGGTCGGGATTAAACGTGGGAAATCCAGAGACATCTCCAGAGGGCGCAGGAACCATGGCTGAGTTTTTCATAACGGTGTGATGATCACCATAGAGCACCTGTGCCTGCATGGTGGAAATGGTGGAAACGCTTGTCCGGCCATATCTGCAGAAATGCATTCACCGCCAGCGCGTTCAGATCCAGTCTCCAGCTGTAGGAACGAGGTAGCTGAGAGTTCAGTCTGGAAGCAAATAGATCCAGTAGGCCCCACAGGCGCTCGATTGTCTGAAAGACTGAAGCATATGTAGATGCCAATCTCCTGTTTCCCGAAGATATATCGAATTCCAGTCCACCCATGAGTTATCCAATCCTGGAATATGTCCCGCTGTGACTAAAAGTTTGTTGAGAAGGCAAAACTGCCAGAAGTCTTTTGCCAGGTTCGCCAATAGTTTTAACTTTGTGCCCCCTAAACGATTGATATAGCTCACTGCTGATACGTTGTCCATCTTGAGTAGGATGCAGCATTTCGCCTTGTTAGGTGCCACGCTGTGGATGGCAGAGGACCCTGCTAACAATTAGATTCCGTTGCTGTGCATTGAAGATTCCTCCGCCAACCATCTGCCTCCGGTAGAGCTATTTCCGGAACGAGCAGCCCAGCCGTGTAAGCTGGCATCTGACTCGATAACCATGTCGGGTATAGTCCCGGAGATTGTCCGGCCATTCCATACCTCCATGTGGGCAAGCCACCATTCAATTTCCTCCCGAGCTTCGGAATCTAGAGTGAGGCGCGACTCGTAAGACTCGGTAGTGAAGTGGCGCCTGGATGGAAGAGGAGAGTAGTCCTATCTTCCTCGCTAGCTGTTGTACCGACAAGAGTACATTTGATCTCTTTCCTCATGGTTCTGAGCTTGGTGTCTGGAAGGTAGAGGAACTGGGTGAGCGAATCCACGTCGAATCCCAGAAACTCTATCATCTGATTTCTGTGTAGAATAGACTTTTCCCAGTTGATGAGAAAGCCCAGGTCTTGTAAAAGCTGTGCCGGCCATTGCAGGTGGGTACATAGACTATCTGGTGAGTTCGACATGATGAGGATGTCTTTCAGATAAATGATCAGGCGTACCCCTCGTTCTCGAAGGAATGACACCACTGGTTTAATCAGTTTGGTGAAGCACCATGGAGCAGAAGAGAGTACGAATGGAAGACAGGTAAACCTCAATTTCCTGCAGGACTTATCTTTCTGCATTTGTATCCATTTTTTGTATCACTCAGCCTTGTTACAATGCAGCTACCCATCCCATGTGTTCCCTATTAAGGGTTAATAATATATAGGGGTGTATATAAAAAATACCCCTTTCTGTCTCATTAGAGATCTTTGCCAGAAGTTCAAGGAAGCAAGGTGAATGATTAGAGTTAGGACCCACCTGGGGGGGGTGGGGGGTGGGGGGGGGGTCTGCCTTGACGTTGGAAGGTGGGTTTATCCTCTCATGGCCATTGGAGGTAACTAAAAAAACCTCCATTTGTTTAAAAATACATAGGGATTAAGGAGAGAGTGCACGTAACTTGTTTTTCTTTGGTTTTTACCTGCTATAGGTGGCAGTGGGATAATGGGGGTAATGGAAGGGCCTTCGGTCTCCTTGCCTTGTGCCTGCATGGTTAAAACAAGAGCACAATTCGGAGGTGACAAAAGTGAAAAACCAGTGATTAATGGCCTCCTCCAGGCGCTTTCTGACAGTGCGCTGAAACGGCAGGCTCTGCCCCAATGGCAAGCCAACCTGGCGGTTAGATCAAACGCAGTCCCCGCCCTGGAGCACAGCAAAGCCGCTGAGCGGGTTGCGACACGCGACTCTCGGACAAAGAACAGGGAGGGAGGGAAGGAGGCAGGCAATGAAGAGACAGGCTAAGCCGGCTCCCAGGGAGGGAGATCCGCGGCTCAGTTTGCACAAAACAGTAGAGGTGGTTGGTGCACCCCAGCCACTGACACATAAAATTAACAAGCCAGTAGGGCACAAATAATTAAAGCCATACAAAGTTAAATAAAATATCCACAAAAATACTTAGCTGGTCTGAGGGAGCAGCAAAGAAAGAGGAAGTTCACTGATTGGACCACTACTTTTCATAGACTATACTCTCTGTTGAATAGCTGCCCTCTTCCTAGGCAGTTTATTGTATTATACTTTTTTTCTCTCATTCTTTGATGCTGAGGGAAATAAATAGAAAGAGAATGCATAATATGGGCCTCCGTGTCATTAATAAAATTGAAAAGCGGTCTGGTCACTAAGGGGTTAACTGAAGTCCACCCAGTCTTCCTACCTTTGGAAAAATACTCTTACTCTGTTGTGCTTTCAGTTACGCTACTTGGGCCTTAAATTTGAAAATCACTTTGAATTCTCAGTTTACTGAATAACTCTGTAAATGTTTAAACATATTTACTTCTACTTGATATGTTTATTATTCACCATCCGTACAATCATATTTTTAGAAGTTGCCTATTAGTGCCTAGCTCATATTGAGTGGTTTCTGCCTACTTAACTGCTAATTGCAGGATATGCTCTCATCACAATGAGCTAAACATTTATTTTAGTTGTATGAGATCGACTCAATACGTTCATGTGACTATTTCTGTAAGGCTATGAGTGGCTAATACTGGCTTGTTCGTTAACTGATTTTTATCTTAGTAGATACATTCCACAATGGTTTTTGCCATTAGTGCTTGTGTTTATGAAAATAATACATTTAGAATTATGAGTTTAGTAGTAAGACTCTTCCCTGTCTTCTCACATTTGTAAACATTGTACTGTATCCGCATGCATTACACTTGCACTTTGATTTCAGTGGCTGTATTGTGATGCACTAGTAGCTACTGTTTATTTCTATATTTGAGGGAGGAACAACTGAAAGCTTACTTTTTATTTTGTAGTTAAAGCAAATATATGTGGATAACATGACTAGGGAGGATGCAACGGTATAGTGCCAGGAAAACAACTTTGATTTCCTGGCATTATAGTTTCTCTTTAACGAATGGAAAATAAAATTTTAACGGTGTAATAACTACAAAGTAGGCTAGTAAGTACTCGCTGTCTTTATAATGCTAAGGAGAGATATTGGTCAGAATGTTCCCTGTGCAGTGCAGGCGTAAACCGGCATAAACCCTTATACATTAAAAGAACCAGACTATTTAAATCCCTGCTGGTACCAAGAAGCCCCAGATATCATTGGATACCTGAGGGTTAGATCTGAATCGTAAAACACGGAGCCCCAGGTATCTTTTGATACCTGTGGGTCTGTCACCTGAGGCCGCAATAGGTACCCCCAGACAGACAGATGAGCTATGTGCCGTGCTCAAGATAAGCATTTAACCCCATAAGGACATCGGATGTATTAGGTGCGTCCGACAAAAAATTGGTCCTTAAGGACTGCGGACGTACTTGATACGTCCGCTGTGAATTAGAGCGCTGGAAGCAATAATCATCACTTCCAGCCACCCTAACGGTATTGCAGCGATGCCTCAATGTCGAGGCATTGTGCAATACCCCCCCCCCCCCTCACTGCCAGGCTGCTGGGTGATCGCTGTGTCTTTAAGACAATAAATAAATACCTTATAATAAAAGTGTAATTTGTATAAAACTATTAGTGCAGAGATATGTTATACCCAAAGTGGCAATGTGCACTGTTCAAAAACACACTGTGTATAAATGTGCAAAAATGTGAAAAAAACACTAATGAAAACTCCTTTTCACTCACTTAGGAGTATCCCACTCTGCTTGTTTCAAGGTTCCAATGTGAAACCTAAAAAGAGAAAAAAAGGACAAACACATAGGGCAATATGTATGCATACAAAAAAATAGGTAAAATAAACTGAAACACTCACAAAAAAATGAAATCCCATAGAAGTAAAAGTTTAAACATTAAAAAAGTAAGTTTTAATGCCATGTATGAAACATTTTCACCGCTTTTCTGGAGAACCAAAAAAAATAATTTTGTTTTTGCTATAGAAGGAAAACGATATATATGTTTTGGTTTGCGGTATTCCTTGATACATTCCATTTTATCCAATGCAGATTGTCTCCATGTTTCATTATAAAGCATGCATGATGTTTTTTGTTTTTGTTTTTTTCCTGTTTAGATGCTTGTATCTAATTCCAGTGCTCACTATTCTGCTCTTTGTTAATAAATCAACTTGATACTTAAAGATGATTTATATTTTATTTTTCTATCCTTGAAAGAGCATTTTTGTATTGCATGGTTTTTGTTTTTGTTTGTTTGTTACTGGCTCTGTTTATTTATTTTTTCCTTTCCATCTGTTCTACTAATACCCAGAGCCTACCTGTTACTAATCTGCAATGCCCTCATGATCCCTGTCATTGCCACTTACTTTAAGCCGCTGTTTGTGTCTCCTTTCTGTCAATCAAGTGATTTTAAAACCCTGTGCCGTATTCCACCACTGACTTGAAGTACAATGAGTTGGTTGGTTTTCATTACCATGATGCATGTCTATATTGTAGTTAAAATGCTGCAGTTTTATGTTGATTTGAAAAAAGATCAGGGTTATCTGAGACCAATGCTTTTGGATCAGGGTTATATATAATTATAAAATGCTGCTTCATGCATTCTTTATTCACAAATATGCCTCTTTGTCTTGTCAGTTCTAATGACACAGAAGCTTGTGTCTTGGTGCTGTAGCATGGACTCCCTGCTGAGGAAAACATCCTAGATTATGGGACAGGGGTGGGCAACAGCTGGCATTGCACAGCCTCCCCTGCTGCCATTAGTATTCAGTAAAAACTACAGTGCCAAAAACATTTAAATGAGAGCTGGAAGTATTACTTGAAATCAGAGGCCCGTATTTTCATTTGCACATTGGGTTCTTCTCTATTAAGCTTCCATTTCCGAATAGAAATACTGGTCTTGAAATACAGATTATGTACAGTTATATTTTATTGTTTCATGAAAATGTAAGGTCAGAGAGAAGCCAGTGAAACTGTGTATCTGTACAGATCTACGAATATCCCAAAATGTATTTAGAAATTATCTCTCTTGTGATCTGTACAAACTGTGCTCAGTGTTGTATGCCAAGAGTTTAGCCCTGAAACACAAGCATGCATCACAGTGTGTGGCGGGCCTATCAATACAATGAGTTCAACAAAAAAAACCCAAATAGAAATAATTAACAACCAAGTTTAACTGCTAAATATTTTTTTATTCCTACCTTTGATGTGTGCGTATTTCAGCCACAACATGATAATCACTGACAGGTGAAGTGAATAACCTTGATTATATTGTTACAATGTCACCTGCCAAGGAGTAGGATATATCAGGCAACAAGTGAAGTCGGGTGTTGATTTTCCTTTGTTGGCAGCAGGAAAAATGGGCAAGCACAAGGTTCGGAGCGACTTTGACAAGAGCTAAATTGTGATGGCTAGACTACAGGATCAGAGCATCTCGCAATGTCAAGTCTTTTGGGGTGATCCCGGTATGAAGTTGTGAATACATACCAAAAGTGGTGCATGGAAGGACAAGCAGTGAACTAGAGGGTGTGGGGGAGGGACATCAGTTTGCTACGTACAAGGCTGTGTAGCTGCAAACCGGTCAGAGTGCCAGTGATGACCCCAGTCCACCACTGCAAGATCTTTCAATGGGCCTGTGAGCGTCAGCCTTTAAATTCACTAGATCTCCATCTGATTGAGCATCTGTGGGATGTGCTAGAACAACAAATTAGATCCATGTAGGTCCCACCTCGTAACTTGTATCTTGGTGCCAGATATCACAGGACACGTTGACAGGTTTTGTGAAGTCCATACCTTCAGAGCTGTTTTGGCAGCATACAATATGAAGTTTTATGCTACTTCAAAGTTACTTGTCACCGCCTCACCCTCCAGGAGCAAGTAAATTTCTGCTTGCCAGGGCCAAATTGTAACTTAACAATGGCTAGTGACTAGTGGAAAATTTAGCATTGTGTGTGTGTGTGTGTGTGTGTGTGTGTGTATACCAAAAGATTGGTGTGATGAGGCCAAACATGACACAACTTCTGACAGTGGAAATACAAAAAATACTCTAATGCGTCACCTACATATCTCAAGTTAAACTGAGTTGTCCTTGGGCATAGGAACTTGAGAAATCATGTTTCCAACTTGATTGATACAGCTTGTTCATTGCTAGTTTCTCGTTGCTGATCCTTATGAATCATAGCCCATGCTTTGGCTAAACACACACTTAGAACAGTTTCTGAAGTTTCTGTGCCTTACAAGAACCGATTAAGGTCCAACTTGAGTTATGCAAGTGATGCATAACTGTTTGTGTATAGTTTCTCATTGTGAAACATTGTTTTGGAAGCTGGTTGAGATCCAATCAGTGAGAAGCAGAGGCTAGTTGAGATCTGCAGTGGAATGTATAAGCAGTCGAGAGGATGCTAGTCCGAAGATCAGACTAAAGAAAAAGTGTTTAGGTTTGCTGCCCCCACCCTAACAAAAATTATATAGGACTTAAGTTCATATATATTTCACTACAAAAAGAGTAATGGGACACATTTAGCAAGTAGTGTTCCTTTTAAAGGTGTGTTTTTTTGGGGGGGGGGGTTTTGTTTGTTTTTTCTAAATTTTATACAGTCTGTACTGTGCTCATTCAATTTCTGCATTAGCCCTGAATCTTGGGGGCTTATTTAAACCCAGTATATAGTATAACCCAGGTATGTGTATCTTTTATTTCATAGGTTTCTCAGTGGTTTTGCTAACACAATTAATAAATACAATGTATACTTACCTGAAGTGAAATTTTGTCATCCTACTATCGTTGATTACAATTTCTTTTTAACATATACCTTATGTATATGTCAATTTTTTTTAGGGTGAATAAAATGTTTTGTACGAAAGAGAAGTTATTTGTTTGACAATTGCATATTTTTTTTTTTTTTTTGTCATTTCAAGGGACCCTGTAGGCTAACCAGCCCACATCATCTGTAATTGTGAGGATTCTTAAGCAAAGTATTAATTTTCATAGTATACATCGTTTTAGCCATATAGCTACTGTGTTCAATGATTTACAAGGGTGCAAGTTTGAAGTTTGCTTTTTTTCTGTTTTGTGCTTATTTTTTAAAACCTTGGGTGCCTGATGTAATCCTCTAACACAGCCATTGCGATGGCCTAAGGCTGGTGTTCATGTTTGACAATGCTTGTATAGGTTAGCTGCCTCTGGTGTGTTCTTTGTTCTCCAGTGTAAATGCCCTTGACAAGAAATTATGGATAAAATGAAAACCGTTAAAACTATTTGATATGATAACCATTAAATATACAGGCTGTCATTTTTCTTAACTTACTCCGTCCATAAATAAATAGTATAATCATATAATCAGTTGCTTTTTATTTATTTTATACAATTGGTGTCAAAGCAGAGCATGTTGGTTCTGCAAGCCTTATTAAAGGCATATGTGATGGAACACCGCCACTGAGTGCCATATCCCTATGTGCCCTCTGTCTATTTCTATGGGGGGAGATGTGTGATGGATGGCCTGATTTGTTTGGCACGGGCCACAAGCTTACGGCGCCATTTTTGGGACTGTTTTACATGTGCCTGTATATACAGCTGTGGGTCAACAAAGGGGTGTGGGGGCAGCAACTCTGTAAAGTATAGTTAAGTGAAATATATTGCTTGTCTGTGCCTCCCTTTTTCTGTCACAGCATGGCGTGGTCACAGGGACACTGCCAGCCCAGTTTGAACTGGCTGATTTGTCCATCCCCCCATCAGCTTCTTGAGATTAAAAAATCCTGGTGTATTGTGTTGAAGACCCCATGTGGGGGTCTGTGCATGTAAAACCATGTGTGATGAAATAAACAGAGGTCAGTCAGTGTTGTACCTCCAGAGCAGTGTGTCATCCAGTTACTGGGGGGAAATGGGTCTCTTGGTACTCTAAGTGGTTGGAGAAGTGAAGAATTAAACAATTGTAGCCTCTTTTGTCAACTCTTCTTCTCTTGCCTACATCATTTTTGTTTACCAAGCCCCTCCTGGATATCACAGGTCTCCCGTTTCTCGATCTTACAAAACTGGCAATGAAGGCTTATATAACCCAGCCAAAGTATAGGTAATGGGTGTGTCTAAAATCAAATTCATTTTATACACACCCACTGCACGCATGAGTTGTGTCTGAATGGGTCTGTTCCTTCTTTATTATACTTTTCTTTAACTGTTCTGTCAGGGGAGCCATTTTAGGTAGGGTAGGCTCCAGGGCCTCATTCTCATACCTCCATGACCTCCAGTCAAGCCTCTGGTGTGTTGGGGATCTAGCCCACCCTGTCCACTAGAGGGCTTCTGGAATCCAAACAGACTTTTGGTCCGTTATCTGACGCTGGACGTCCTCACGGACCTCCAGTTTCAGATTTTGCCCATAGGAAAGCATTGAATAATGCTTACCTATGGGGAGGTCTAATGCACCCGCGGCCATTGCCGCACATTAGGTGTCCCTTGCTGGCGGGGGAGGAGCGTGGGCTGAGTCTGACCCAGCGGCGAGGGACACCGGCACTGGATTCAGGAAAGTGGCTGAAGGGGTTCTAACCCCTTCAGTCCCATGGGACAGGGGGCACTCCAGGAGCCTATAGTGCCAGGAAAACGGGTTTGTTTTCCTTGCACTATAGGATCCATTTAAATGTGTCTGGCATCTGTTTCTGTCAGTAGGAACAATCTAGTGGTGTGCAATAGATAACATTTAATGAAAAGATTATCAGTAGGCCTGCTCCCATCATCACAAAGTTCATTGCTATAGATAATGGCAGATGCTGTTTCTTAAGTGAATGTCAATTTTCTATTTCTGGCTTTTTTGCTAGCTTTTTCTGTTATCTAAATACTGTAATTTTTATAGCACCAACATATTCTGAGCATTGTTATTCTACCTGCGGTATTAATAATATTAATAATTAATCATAATATTTTAAATCTACACAAATCTTGCACTCTTACTAGAAAACCACATTCAAAGGACTTTTCATCTGCTTCATGCAATATATGTATTGGGTCAACATTTCAGTAAAACAAAGCAAACTCTCTTCAGGACAATGCAAACATAAATAATAACTTGTATAGAGATATATAAAGGCATAAAGATTCACTCACCCACCCTGTGAAACTGCCAGTTTGGTGCGGAACCCGATTCAGAGTGAGACTCTGCACAAACCAAAAGTGACCGCCCCCTCGCGTCTTAACATCTTGCTATGGTAAACCATTTTTGTAAAGACTCCTGAAAGTGAATGTGAAGAATGCCACATAAGGCTCTCACCCATATTGAATGAATAATAGTGAAAAGTAAACGCAAGCCCAAAGTAGAAAAGAAGAAATACATGTTAAATACCTTATACTGATTTAAGGGATGAAAATATTGTCGCACCAGGGAGGAGTAGAAAGCAAATATAATTGGATAGAACAATGCTATACTATTAAGGCCAACATCAACAATATATCAGATGCAATGGAACTGTGCCGTATTCAATGGGTTGGTCTACTAAGGTGTGCTATCTTAGCTGAACCCTATAAAGAGACCTTGTGCTTTCTAAACACCCTCATAAAGATTACAAGCCAAGGCGGATATACAAATCATGAAATGGAAAAAAGTTAATCAAAAAGCCATATAGCATGGAGATGGCACAAAAAAAAAAAATATAGTTGTAATATACTCAAACCAGGGTAACCTAAAATATGGAAAGGCAGGTGGTTGGAGACACCAGTTTGTATGTTGATATGGTCCATGGATTTAGCCATTAATGAAAGCAGCACTAAAGCCATGAAAATAATAGCATGTTCTCATTACAGACACATTATACTCTAGATGTATGCAACCAGGGCCGGACTGGGAAAAAAATTCGGCCCGGGCATTTTTTTATCACAGCGGCCCACTAAGAAGGGGGCGGGGCAGAGAGGGTGTGTTTTGTCATCACTCATGACAAACACGCCCCCTCTCAAAGTGAGCATGTTGGTTCAATGCTCTTCCAGGGCAGACCATGCACAGAGTTCTGCTGAAGGGCTCTAGCATGAGAAAAAAGCCCTGTATTTGTTCTGCGCAGTGCAAGCAAATTTAATAACATGCTTGCACTGTGTTTCCTTGCAACTTGTCTCTGGTGTCTCTATAAATGGATACCAGGAGACAAATGGGTCAGGAAAGAGTATTGTGCATGTGTTTTGGAGCCTGCTTGGGGTATTGCGTGTGTGCAGAGTGAGCTGGTCGTGGTGTGGTATTGTGTAGTAAGGTCGGTTTTAGTCGTGTTGTGTTTGTGGTGTAATGTAATGCATATGTGGCTAGGGGCTTTAGAGAATGTGTGTTTAGGGGATGTAGCAAGTGTGTGTATACAGGCTATAGTGTGTGTGTGTAGGTGATGTAGTGTTTGTAGAGAGTGTGTGTTCAGGGAATGTAGTATGTGTTTGCTTATGAGGAATCTAGTGTGCGTATAGGGGATCCAGAGTGTGTGTGTGTTTGAAGGACCCAGAATATGTATAGGAGATCTAGTGAGCGTGCGTATATAATGGATTCAGAGTGTATATAGGGATCTAGTGTGTGTATGTGTGTAGATGATCCAGAGTTGGGTAGAGGATCTAATGTGTGTCTGGAATGAAATGTGTTTAGGGGTGCTGTGTGTGTGTGTGTGTGTGAGGGGTGCTGTGTGTGTGTGTGAGGGGTGCTGTGTGTGTGTGTGTGAGGGGTGCTGTGTGTGTGTGTGTGAGGGGTGCTGTGTGTATATTTATATGTGTATATATATTATATAAATATGTTTGGAAGTATTGTGTATGTGTGTTAGGCAGTGTATCGGGGGGTTGTGTGTGTATGTGAGGAGTGCAGTATGTGTGTGTGATGGATCCTGTGTGTGAGGTGTGGGTGCTGTGTGTGGGTGCTGTATGTGATTGATTTGTGTGAGGGTGCTGTGTGTGTGGGTGCTGTGTATGATGCATGTGAGAGTGCTGAGTGTGAGAGTGCTGTGTATGATGTGTGTATGAGAGTGCGGTGTATGATGTGTGTGAGAGTGCTGTGTGTGAGAGTGCAGAGTATGAGAGTGCTGTGTATGATGTGTGTGAGAGTGCAGAGTGTGAGAGTGCTGTGTATGATGCGTGTGAGAGTGCTGAGTGTGAGAGTGCTGTGTATGATGTGTGTATGAGAGTGCGGTGTATGATGTGTGTGAGAATGCTGTGTGTGAGAGTGCTGTGTATGATGTGTGTGAGAATGCTGTGTGTGAGAGTGCTGTGTATGATGTGTGTGAGAGTGCTGAGTGTGAGAGTGCTGTGTATGATGCGTGTGAGAGTGCTGAGTGTGAGAGTGCTGTGTATGATGTGTGTATGAGAGTGCTGTGTATGATGTGTGTATGAGAGTGCGGTGTATGATGTGTGTGAGAGTGCTGTGTATGATAGTGCAGAGTATGAGAGTGCTGTGTGTGAGAGTGCAGAGTGTGATGAGTGTGAGAGTGCTGTGTGTGAGAGTGGAGTGTGTGAGTGCAGAGTGTGATGAGTGTGAGAGTGCTGTGTATGAGAGTGCTGTGTATGATGTGTGTGAGAGTGCAGAGTGTGATGTGTGTGAGAGTGCAGAGTGTGATGAGTGCAGAGTGTGATGAGTGTGAGAGTGCTGTGTATGATGTGTGTGAGAGTGCAGAGTGTGATGAGTGCAGAGTGTGATGAGTGTGAGAGTGCTGGGTATGATGTGTGTGAGAGTGCAGAGTGTGATGAGTGCAGAGTGTGATGAGTGTGAGAGTGCTGTGTATGATGTGTGTGAGAGTGCAGAGTGTGATGAGTGCAGAGTGTGATGAGTGTGAGAGTGCTGTGTGTGATGTGTGTGAGAGTGCAGAGTGTGATGAGTGCAGAGTGTGATGAGTGCAGAGTGCTGTGTATGATGTGTGTAAGAGTGCAGAGTGTGATGAGTGTGAGAGTGCTGTGTATGATGTGTGTGAGAGTGCAGAGTGTGATGAGTGCAGAGTGTGATGAGTGTGAGAGTGCTGTGTGTAAGAGTGCAGAGTGTGATGAGTGTGAGAGTGCTGTGTATGATGTGTGTGAGAGTGCTGTGTGTAAATGTGTGTTGGGGGGGTAAATAAAAAACTAAGGGGGTGGGGGGGGTAAATAAAGAAATTAAAAAAAAAAACCTAAGTAGGCATTAAATCTCCCCTCCCACTTACCTTTAGCCTGGGAGGGGGGACCGGCATGGTGGTAGCTGGGAGGAGGGGGGACCGGCACACTCACATCATCCCTGGTGGTCCAGTGGTGAGTGAACTCTAGCCTGCGGGCTAGAGTTCACTCTCGCGAGATCCGGTCGTTGCCATGGCAACGCGCCGGATCTCGCGAGAGGAACCCGGCGGAGCTGCAAGATAGAGCTCCGCCGGGTCCTCTCCCTCCCCAGCCGCCGGTCTATTTAAATGGGCCGGTGAGGGAGCTCTTTGATCTCCCCACCGGCCCTCCGTGGAAGACAGCAGGGCCGGCGCTCGGATAGTGCCGGCCCTGCATAGACCGGCAGGGGAGATCCTGGGACCTCCCCTGCCGGCCTCGGCCCCACGGCCACCGCGGCCCACCGGGCATTTGCCCGGTGTGCCCGATGGCCAGTCCGGGCCTGTATGCAACAATTAGATTTCGCAAGACCAACTAAATATTACGTGTATACACGGACAAGTTAATTTGTACACATCAAATTTTGTGGTTAATGGTAATCCTTTGCTTAATCAAGAACTTCTGTTCTGTATGTGGATGGTGAAGAATTTTGGATGGAACCATGTGGCTATAGGTGACACTGCCTAGGCATCAGTAGATGCATGCATTGGTTAGCAGGTTCACTTGGTTAGCAGGTTGTTTTGTACCAGAGTACTAGATCGGTGTGGACAAGAATGTTGTTTAGATTTTTTTTTTTAATTTTTTAGCGAAGTATCACTGACCATAACTAAAACATAACATAACTAGAAAAGTTACAATTTCTGGGGAAATTGTGTGAAGTGTTCTTGCCTCCACCAGTAGTCTACAACTGGAGTGGGCAGAGTAACTGTTATCATTTATATAGCACATTTAATTGCGACGTTGTTGCACAGTTACATTAAACCATACATTTATAAAAACATTAGCAGGTGTTCAAAAGGCCCTGTCTATGACATCAATTGCTGCTGCTGCCTTGCACAGGTCAGAGTATTTTGGCGGTTGCCATCTTCAAATCCTACAGCAAAAAGCTTTATATTGTGAGAATCACAAGACCCAGACCTACATTTTGATGCATAGTATGTCTCTGAGGTATTAAAAATGAAGGCACAGTCGCAGTTTAGAAATTGCACCTCAAATTTGAGCTTTGTAGAGTGAAGTTTCAATGAAAGTCAATGGACGGCGTTAGTTGCAAACAAATGATTATATTTTGAAAACTATCAGGGCTATGGCTTAGCCGTTGACATGTTTAGTGGCAGAAGGGATAGCTGAATGTTTTGATATAAGATTTGTGTAGGTGGGCCTGAAAATAAGGGAGTGGTGGCAGTTTAGAAATCATGTCCTGATTTTTCAGCTTTGGCCAGCTCCCACTCTAGCTTTGCCATTCATTCCTATGGGACAAATTTCGCCACAAGAACGACGATATTCCGTGAACCATTCGGCGAAACGTTCCACAAAGTAATAGCAATCCGATTGGGAACAATCTGCACGTTTTGGTAAATTTTTGTCTGTGTAGTGTAAAAACTGTGGGAGGAGTTAGGGTGGCAAATTTTGCTATAATAATAATAATAATAATATATATGTGAGATAACATTAAGTGATCTTGCTATGCAAGAACACTTAATAATATATATGTGAGATAACATTAAGTGGTCTTGCTATGCAAGAACACTTAATAATAATAATATATATGTGAGATAACATTAAGTGGTCTTGCTATGCAAGAAGACTTAATAATATATATGTGAGATAACATTAAGTGGTCTTGCTATGCAAGAACACTTAAATATAACTAGTGTATATTGAGAGGTACATATTAAATTACAAAAAGGAACAGGGCGTCCAGGAATTAGGGATTGTTAGGGCGCCATAATGGATTCACTCAGTCCAGGATTCAGGTTAATACATGGTGCAGATTTCTAAATTTTGTTTTATCTTTCAGACTTCCCAAAGGCTATTTAAACATCATAAATGTAAACTAGAAAAGCTAAAATTTCTGGGGAAATTGAGTGAAGTGTTCTTGCCTCCACCAGTAGTCTACAACTGGAGTGGGCGGAGTAACTGGTTAGAGTAGCTTGAGTAACTTGTTGGTTGGAGTGGCTGGAGTAACTTGGAAAGGTGGGAGTGTGGTTCACTCACTCTACAGCAAGGGCAGAGAAGAGCTTTCAAATCTTTCAAATCCCTCGAACATTCCACCAACTGCCAACAGGAACTAATAGATTCCAAATAGGGCAGAGAAGAGAGGTTAAAAACAAACTGCTCCAAATTGATCACTTCACTGGTGGTTGCCATCTTCAAACGGTCGTACAGCGAAGAGCTTTATATTGTGAGAATCACAAGACCCAGACCTACATTTTGATGTCTCTGAAATTGTCCTTCAAATTTGAGGTGGCTAGAGTGGAGTTTCAATGAATGTCAATGGACGGCATGAGTTGCAAACAAATGGTCATATTGTGAAAACTATCAGGACTATGGCTTAGCGGTGGACATGTTTAGTGGCAGCAGGGATAGCTGAATGTTTTGATATAAGATTTGTGTAGGTGGGCTTGAAAATGAGGGAGTGGTGGCAGTTTAGAAATCATGTCCTAATTTTTCAGCTTTTGCCAGCTCCCACTCTAGTTTTGAACATTTCGCCATTCATTCCTATGGGACCAATTTCGCCACAAAAATGACGATATTCCGTGAACCATTCGGCGAAACGTTCCACAAAGTAATAGCACACCAATCGGGAACAATCCGCACGGTTCGGTATATTACTGTCTATGTAGTGTAAAAACTGTGGGAGGAGTTAGGGTGGTAAATTTGGCTATAATAATAAGAATAATATATATGTGAGATAACGGTAAGTGGTCTTGCTATGCAAGAACACTTAAATATAGTGGTAAATGACCATAACCTAATCATGACTGTGTGTACACTATGAAAGAAAAATTGATGCACGTGTTCATGATCTTTTCTGGCTTTAATCTCCTAAATTGTTGTAAAATAGTTTATAAGCGCCATAGATGTCATAACATTGTAACTTCCTGCAGCTTTTCTTTAGAAATTGCTTGTGTCTTTACAGCTCTGTCTTAATCTGCTACGGAAAAAGCTTTTTGACTACATCGCTGTTGACAATCGAGAAGAATGAATCTGATCTGCTGCAACTCCTAAATTCACTGTAATATTAGCCTCTCATTGAACTCTGTACTGTTTGCAACCTTGAGACTGCTGGGATTGTACAATTTTTGTGTGTGTTTTTTGTTTTTTGTTTTGTTTTAGCAGAGAACATAATGGTGATCTTATTTAGTTAACATGTACAAGAGTATAGCATGAACAAAAAAGTATTTGTGTGCGATAAATACTACACTGCATTTAAAGGGATACTATAGGCACCCAGACCACTTCAGATTATTGAAGTGGTCTGGGTACAGTGTCCCTATTGCACTTAGTGCCGCAATGTAAAACATTGCAGTTCCAGAGAAACTGCAATGTTTACCTTGCAGCACTAAATCTGCCTCCAGTGGTTGTCTAACAGACAACTGGATTGAAACGGACATTTGGTCCGGTATCTGATGCTTGATGTCCTCACACTCTGCATGAGGACATTCGGCGTCAGATTTTTACCCATTGATTCAATGCTTTTCTATGGGGCGCATTAGTGCTTACTGGTCGCAGGATGGAGGATAGGGCAGAGCGTCAACCCAGCGCCGAAGGACATCGGCGGTGGGATAATGTAAGCAAATACGTGTTTTTAAGAGAGAGAATGAAACACTGACTGCTTATCAGATGTGGTTACACTTATTTATATCAAGGTGTGATCTAAGCACCATAACCACTACCGCTCAAGTGTTTATTGTGTTATAATTTGTAGAGAGAATGTTTTGTAAAACCATTCCAAAATAGTTTCAAGGAAAGCTGGCATAAAAATGCCTAATCGCCAATTTCCATTTTTATATAATTTTCTTCCTTTGTATCAATGTTTTTAAATATGGAAACTAAATATATTATTTTAATATAAATGAATCCCTTGTCTAACGTTGCCTCCTCCTTTTCACTTACCATGTTTAATGCTCCTTCAGTAGGATTCTTCCATTATCTGACTATCTCTGTCAATGAATTTTGTTCAAAGATGGCCGGAATTGTAGTTTATTTTAAAGTACCGTTAACCTGAGCTGAAGGTGGAGATTCGAATGTGAGAAAACCTGAATATTTGAGAACTGAAAGCAATTTGCTTATTGGGAAAAATGACAAATTAGGAAACGATGAAATCTGGTGAAAAGTTCTGTTTTTTTTGTTTGTTTTTTTTGTGCACCTTTGAGTGGAACAACTAAAAAAAAAAACTAACTCCACGTGGTAACTTCCTTAGAGTTGGTTAGTGTGGTGTATAATTTACTTTTACGCATTCTGCTAAACCTCTTTGCGCAGCCATTTTATTTTGTATTTTTGGTTTTGGTTTTCAGGGAAGAGGTCAGGGCAGAGATGCATGAAGAAAATGATGTTTGTAATAACAGTTTTATTGAAGCGGGCTTATTATGTCTATATTTTTGCATGTGCTTCAGGCAGTGTGATCTTTAAAGAACACGCTGATCCTACAAATATAATGTATAGGCAGCAGAATCCAGCACATTTTCCTGCCTTTCGTAAAGGTCACAAAAAGGTACAATATAGTTCTACCTGGCAACGTAGCTCTATATACACTGTCGAAAACTGTGCCGATTACAGGATGAAATAGGTAAATGTTACTGCTTATGTTTACACTTATTTATATAGTGCCAACATATTCTGCAGAGCTGTGCAGTATGAAAGACAAACATTTAATTCTTACAAAACATGAAGGACATATGGGAACAATAGGGTCGGTGCATAGGGCTCTGCCCATATGAACTTGTTTAAATCTTGAGGATCATTTCTCTTGTTCTAAATCTACAGGAGATGTGACTAGATTACTTGTCTTATGTTAAATATTTTGCCTTAACAGACTTATTCTTCTTAAATGCTACTTGTTTTATTGGTATTTGTATTATTACATTCACAATACCTGTCCCTAGCAGCGCTGTGTGATCATGGAAGTGATGTCTCGTCTTTAAGATGCACATCGACTCATCCCTAGCATCCTGGTGTCTCATTATGACACCATATGACATGGAATGTTTCTATTGGTTTCCTTTTATAATGTCAGTCTTTGTGGTGCTTTTTAATGATGTGTAAACACTTGTGACATCATGGCCCTCTGTAACCAATCACAACCCAGTACAGGGTGTATATACTTCCTAGCTGTCCTTATTTCTTCGCCCTGTCGTGGTTTCTGTTTACCCAAGAGTGTGTAATAGTTTACTTATTATGTATTCTGACACTTCTTGATCTCTGTAACCCTGACCTTGCCTTGTTTCCCATTTCTGTGTACCTCTGTAATCCCTGACCTCTGCTTGTTGACGTCTATTCTGTTTTTGCTTAGACTTTCTGACTTTAACCCCTTAAGACCGCAGGCGTTCTATGCCGTCCTTATTTTGATGGCTCTAAACGCCGCAGGGCGGCATAGAATCCTGCGATCTTATGTACTTACCCAGTCGCCGGCGATCGCAGTATAGGGACTTACCTGGGAGCCCAGGGAGTCGTCCTCTTCGGCCCCCCTGGGCCCTGTGATCACAAGGACTGCATAGCCGTCCAAGGCATTGCCAGCAGGGGGAGTGCCTGTAATGACAGGTACGCCCCCTGCTGTCTGGAAATAAAATAAAAACCATTAAAACAGTGTAAAAATAAATAATATATACTTAGATCATATATATATATAATTTATTATATATATGATCTAAGTATATATACACACATACACTAAGTTTATTTTAATATGAATATATACATTATATATATTATCAAAATACACGTACAGTGATATTGATTAAATATATATATAATTTATTATAAATATAATAAACTAAATACGTAAATACGTTAAAATAAAATTAAAAAAATAATAAAATATATATACATGTAATTTCGTTCTAACAGTATTTTAAAATATATATAGATATCAAAATACATGTAGAACGAAATAATATATCTATATACATAAGTATATATCACTATATATATATACCTATATATAAATAAAAATAACAAAATATATATATATATATATATATATATATATACACACACACGTGTGTGTGTATATATAATAATTATACGTATATATTCATGTAATAATTTTACATAATTAGGTCATTTTATAAATTACAATTTGCAGGACCTGCCTGACAATCCAGGCCGAAAGTTCAGGGAATTTAATTTACTAGCACTATATTTAACCCTGTAACTTTCCACCATAAAACCTGTACAATGGGGGGTACTATTTTACTCGGAAGACTTCGCTGAACACAAATATTAGTGTTTCAAAACAGCGAAATGTATTACGACGATATCGTCAGTGAATTTTTTTTGCATTTTTCACAGTGATTGGAAGGCGAAAAGCATCAACATGCAAGTTGACCTGAGATAGACAAGCTGTCTAACTTAAACTTAATTTAAGCTGTTACTTAACCTGGTTTAACCTAACCCAACTTAAAAAGGGTATAATGGCAGCACAGTGGTACTTTGAACGTGCTTAGGATTCATGTGTTCATGGAATGGCAAAAATGTTTGAGGGAGGTGGGGAGGGAGTCCGGGGATAGTCCCGTGTGGGGGGGAGGGAGAGCTAAGCGAGACGAGTACATAGCACACGACCATGCCCTCTTTCTTTTGGGGTCCTACACCCCCTGGCCCGGTTCCAAACCATGACTGACCCTGGACATAACTGAGAGGCATTCGGATACTGAGCACCCTTAAAGCCAGGATGGACACTGACAGAGAGGCACATCTCAGGGATAGATGGCGACAGCAACCCCTAAGGGCGAAATTTGGCACTCTTCCCTGAACCCATGCCGGACAACTCAACCACTTGTTTAATGGCGGGATCAAATTAGGGGATCAGATGGAGGAGGGGGTGGGACTGTTAATATAAAGGGTGAAAAGTTGGGGGGAGGGGGAGTAAAAAAAAATCAAAATCAAAAAACCTTAATCAAAAAAGGTAACCATAATGTTCTTATGCATTTCTTTATTGTTTCACCAATCCCTGTGAATTGTGGCGGACACACGAGCCACCTGCCAAAAGTCCAAACGTGCCCCCTGTTGCCTCAGGGATGCAAACAGACCCCCTGCCGAGTCATCACTGCTCCACTCCCCGTCTAAGTGGATAATACCCCGCATAGTTTCCCATGATCCCCTTGAGAGGTTGCAGGATCTTGCTTGGGGATCTGAGAGCTCCCTGCCGGCCCCTTCCTGCTACAGGGGACCCTAGTCCATTGGGCACATGTATAGGCCAGCCTCTGACACAAACCACGATATGTCAGTGTACCATTCTGTTTTTGTTGTATCTGTTGACAGTTAAAACTGACTATGTATTTTGAATTTAGAAGCCTCTAGCCAAACTACGTCAATCCCTGCTAAAGGTTTTAAGCGGGAATTGTTTATACACCCGGAGTCTCCATGAGGTGCTCAACGGCTGGAGACTGCCACCCCTGATCGGCCCGGTGCGAGATAAGAGACCATGTTTTCAACCTTAACTAAAAGTGAGCTGCGATTGGCAGAAACTATTCTCTTTGATCTTTCTCACCCTATACTTCGGCTTTATTTACTTACTACTGTCCCCACTATCTCCTACCTCCCTCTCCTCTTGCACCCCTCTCACCCTTTCCTTGGTGGGGGCAGGGGGTGCTGGCCATAATCTACTGACAGGACGGAGGGCTACGCGACTGTGGTGGTGCGGCGAGTGCAGGTATGCAAAGATAATTGTAAACCGATCACTAACTGGGTGTGGCTATGGCTCTTAGGTTCACTGCCCTCAACGTTAATGGCCTCAATGTCCCAAATAAAAGGCATATCCTTCTTAGACAACTAAAGCGACAAAAAAAAAAGATGTTGCGTTTGTGCAGAAGACTCATATGCAACGCTCCTCCGGGGTTCAAATAAAAGATCACGTATACCCCAGAGCTTACGCTTCACAAGCTCAAAGCAAAAAGCACGGAGTAGAAATTATTCTACATAAGAGTTGCCCTTTACAAGTGCAAACCACAAATGCAGACTCGGACGGAAGGTACCTGGTCCTCACAGGATCAATCCAAAACATCACTTAATCAATGT